TATATATATATATATATATATATATATATATGAGAGACTGTACTACTAGACCATCTTAAAGGGGCCGTTTGGTTCTTTGGGAGGCACATTTTCATGAAAACAGCCTGGGAATGCTGTTTTGATGCCCAAGGGGGAGTCCCATCTCTGCATAGCGGCCAATTTTCATCTTTTGTGTAGAAATGTTAATTTCTACCAAAATAAGTGAAATACATATTTTGGGTTGATTGAGACTCAAAGTTCAAAACAGTTTTCTTAAACTTGATGACATGCCCTAAGCCATCCGATTTGACATCTAATAGCTAATTAGCAATTATGGAAATAGTGTATTTTGTAATGAATTTTTGGGCCATCAATTTTCAAGATTTTCAAGTTTCATAGATCTATCTATCTACACTATTTTTGAAGTTGTAAACTTTATAAGTACAGATGAAAATATATTTTAAGGCTATCACAAAGATTTCCAGAAACCACATTTCTAGACACTATTTGAAGGTAAGTTCTAATTTGATTGTTTAGAGTCTAGGCTCTATGGAAACCGCACCATTATATCTATATATATATATATATAGCTACAATTAATTTTATGTTGTAATATATAAAATTAATTTGCATTATAATAGAAATATTAAATTATGATATAAGATATTATAATCATAATTATTATGTATAACGTATATAATTTCCTATTAATATATAGCTGACGCTTATTATGTGAAATAATTATAATGCTTATAACAAGGGAAAAGTTTATAGAGAGCCGAGGCTCTAAACAATCAAATTAGAGCGCACCTAAAAAAATACATTAGAAGAGGTTGTTTTGATGCCAAAATATCCTCAAATTGATCATCACGACAACAAGATGCATGGGCATTGGGAAAAAATAGATTTCAAGTTTTAGAAATAATGCATCTTGTAACGTACTTTTGGACCATTGATTATCTAGATTTTCATCTTTTCATTGATCTGTTCGATCTATACTAGTTTTTAAGCTTTAAATTTCATAATTAAATATGAAAATATGTTTTAAGGCTATCGCAAACATTTCTAGTATTGAATCCATATTTCTGAACACTATTTGAAGGTGTGCGTTATTTTAATTGTATAGAGCCTCGACTCTATACAAAATGCACCCTTATAATAATAATAATAACTATAATTAATTATTTATTACTCTATAAGTAGCTTTTATATTATAAAATATATAATATATATTATGGAAAATTATACAATGAGACCGTTTATCTTTCGAACAAAGTGGTCACATTTAATCTTACCTTTTTTGATGTGAAATTGGGTGGTTGCATTTATTCCATTGACCAAACAAAAAGTTCAAAAGAAAATTTTTCGAACTTTGTGACATACTCAAGCTATCAAATTTCACTTTGGATAGTTATAAATAATCGTGACATCCTTGTATAATAGATAAATGGTCTCATTGGATTTAATCCTATTATTACTTATACATAAATAATTAAAAATGTATTATAATATTATATTATATACTATAATATTATGTATTATTGCTTATATAATCTAGAATATTTATATATTATAGTGTAATGTATTTATTATAACATGCAAATTATTTATATATAGTAATGTATAATTTATTGCAATTATAATATGTATATCATTACAATTATACTCCAATATTATATTATATATGTTACAATATTATACATTATTATGCAAATTATATATAATATATTATAATTGAATTTTATATTTGATATAACATTGTAATACACTATCAACACATATAATACAATTTATAATGCTATACTATACAATAATTATGTTTAGTATTACATACACTAATTAAGAATTAATATTATTATATTAAATTATAATACTATTTATTATAATAAGATTTAATATAATTAAGTTTAGTCATTGTATTTATTAGAACATATAATTAGTATATATTACATACAATAACTAAGATTTAATATTATAATACATATAATATCATTTATAATACCATATGATTTCATATTATTACATACAATAAGCATGAGTATGTTTGACAAAAGATAATTTAAATATTCATATATTTAAAATTTTGAATAAACATATTGCTTGGTTTTTACTTAATTGGACTATGTACTATCTTAATATATACGTTTTTTTACTTGTTTGATTGTTCCTTTATACCATTTCTAGAGGCACATTGTGAACATAAACTTGAGAATTCATCAAGCCTATTTCTATTTATGCGTGTTATTACGATGTCTTCCTGATAAAATTTTCCAGTCTATTCTGGCTCATCCTAGTCAATTTATATCAAAATCAAACTTAACGAAGATTGCCAATTGTTGCATGAGTGATGAAAATTAGTCTGTAATGAGCCTCATGTAAGAGTAATCAGTCTAAAATAAAAAAATCAGAGAGAGAGAGATTATTTCTGTTCAAGTTAGAGAGATTAGTTCTGTGCAAGTTTTGATAATATGGAATTGTATGGTATTCAAGAGAATAATTATTTCCAAAGTGTGGACAATAAGTTTTGCCATCTGTGTGCGTAATCAATCTAGTTAATTAGTTGATGAGAACTAGACTGCTCAAGCGTCATGAAAGAGTAATCAGTTTAAAACAAAAAATAAAAGAGAGAGAGATGAAATCCCAATACAAAATATGTGATTTACAACCTTCAGATCTTGAAGTGAAATCAACTTAAAATCTACGGTTAACAACGAGAATTCACAAGAGGACTCCAAGAGTAATGAATAGCTCCGTATCTAAGTTGAAGTTACAAAAATTGTCAATGAAAATGGTGAGAGAAGATATAAAAAGAAGTGACTTGGAGTTAGAGAGAAAAACCTTAACAAGATGGACATGGGTTTTGTTGGGAATGAGGAGGAGAGCATCGGTTCAAGTTAAAGAGAGAAACCTTGACAAGATGTGAATGGTTATGCAGAGGAGGCTCAAAGATTTCCCCCTTCTGACTTTCTCTTTCTAAAACTATCTCTTGATAGGACTTAGCATTCAACATCCTATATAGA